GGGGGGGGGACGTGAGAAGACCGGCGCGCGCGCGCGCGGTGAAAAACTCAAGAACAGGAGATGGGCCGGCCGAATGCACACCGGCAAGGAGCGCCCTGGAGGCTGGTGAAACTGGACCACCGCACGAAAGGGGCAACAAGAGGGGCAGGCGGCAGGCGGCAGGAGGGAGGAGGGAGAGGGGCGAGGAAACATGGCATGCACACATCGCTCCTCCTTCGAGGGGGAAAGGGGCAGTGACCGGAGGGGGGAGGAGGGGGGAGGGACCGAGAAGCCCACAGGAAAAACAACACACTGCGGGGACCGGCCCTCGCCTGCCCGCGTGCCGCCGGCGCGACGCACGCGCGCAGCAGCACCCCGCCCACCTTTTTCCCCTTCTTGGCCAAGGCAAAACACGGCGTGCACATCAGACCGATTTCGCCCCGTCAAGAGGCAGCCGGAGAAAGGGGCGGGCCAGGTCAACGGCGCCGAGTTCCCCCCAGCAAGAGCGGGGGGCCGGCTTACTTGCTGAAGGTCTCGACGGCCAGGCGGGCAACAGTCTCCATGGTGGCGCGGTTGCTCTCGACAGCGGCCTGGAAGGACTGGTAGGTGAGCTCGGCACCACCGACACCATTGGCGAAGTTGTCCACCATGCAGATGCAGGTGTAGGCAACGCCGACCTCCTTCATGAGAGAGGCCTCATCGGCGTTGGTCATGCCGACGATGTCGCCGAGGTTGCTCAGGAAGCGGACCTCAGCCGGGGTCTCGAAGCGCGGGCCGGGGGTCTGGATGTAGACGCCTGCATGTCCAGGAGGCGGCGAGGACGGCACCGGGCGGCGGGAGAGAGAGAGAGAGAGAGAGAGAGAACGAGCGAGACACAGATGGAGGTGAGAATCGGAACCGTGGATCTCGGGAGTGCGGCACTTTGGAGAGGGGAGAGAGAGAGACAGAGAGCCCAGCAGGGTGGTGGGTAGGTGCCGCGCTGCTCACGACGTACAGTCGGTGCGGATCTTGAAGTTGTTCTTCTCCAGCAGGTCAATGAACTGCTTGCGGAGCTCCTCGTCGTAGCCGGGGACGATGTGGCCACGGCGGTCGTTGTAGACGCAGGCCATGCCCCAAGGGGAGAAGTAGTCGTTCGGGACGCAGGCGGTGCCCGGGGGGAAGGTGTCCTTCACACCGCCGACGGAGTTGAAGCCGATGGCCTTCTTGACACCGAGGGCCTGGAAGGCCAGGGCCACGGCCGGGGCGTTGATCTCGTGCGGCTGGTAGTAGGGCCGGCCGACGCTGACGGCATGGCGCTGGGCGAAGACAATCGGGTAGTCGGCCAGGGGGGACGGGGCAGAGCCCTCCGGGCAGGCCTCCATGACCTTGGCGCACTCGGGCAGCTTGGCCAGAGCGGCGGGGGTGACGTAGAGGATGACCTCGCCGTGGTCGGTGGTGACGAGGATCCTGGTGGAGGGGGAGGGGGGGGGCAGAGGTGTTGCAAAGGGCACATACTTGGTCATGCCAGTGTGGAAGAGGCTGCTCTGAATGAGCGAAGTGCCAGCAATGATACCGAACATAGTTGCGAAGGGGGGAGGTCGAAGTTTCGACTGTGGGGGGGAGGGAGGAGAACACGCCAGGAGAGGTCAGGAGCCGAGAGGGGGGAGGCGGGAGCCAAGGCAGGCAGGCAGGCAGCTGGGGAGGGGAGGGGACGAACAGCAAACACTCAAACACGCGAAAAAAAGAGTCCGAGAGATGGGTGTACCCGCGGGGCCTGGGCGCCCCGGCAGCCGGTCAGTCGCCTTATATATGCCTCGTCTGGCGGTCCCCCGCGCCTCCCTTCGGGCCTCGCCTTGGCCGGGCCAGGGCATGCGGCGGGAGGGGGCGAGGCGGAAACACACCCAGGCATGCTGTTCCTGGGAAGATCGGCGTCTCTCGCACCAGGGGCACATTCGGCAGGGGCGGCCAGGGCGGGAACAAAAACAGGGGCCCGCTGCCGGGGGTCGCGCTGTGGGAAAACGTGCACCTTGGCGTCATCGTTCGGGCCGGTCGCAGTTTCGCCAGAGGCCTGGACACCCAAACGGGGAACCGGGCACACCCAGGTGGGCTGGCCGGGCCGGGCCGGGCCGGGCTGGGCTGGGGGGGGGGG